GAAATTCGAGTAGTTTTGACCCAGAAAGCGAAATTTAAATATCAGACACTTAGGTGCAAGATTATGCCAAAATTTCATGTTTTCCGTCCCGTTTTAGCTCATTTCTCGGAGGCAAAATGAGCAAAAACGCTCATTTGTACATCATTCTAAAAATTCAAATTCATTCATTCAAATGTTGACATCCAAACATCGCTTTAAGGTTTAACTCTGATATTCAATAAACTCAAGTTAATTGGCAAATTTGCAGGTTGAAGGTGAAATTTTCCGTTCAATCCCCAGTTAGAAGGCCAAATTTTATGGTTTAAATCAGCCCATTTTGCAAAAAAACTGTGAGTTCTAAGTAACAGTGTTTGCATATTCCAACTTTGGCGTCTAAACCGAAATAATCGCCTCAATGTTGAACAATTCATGTAAATCAGACGGTGTTTGCGTGATGCAAGAACTGTGAGTTTAAGAGTGAACTTCACAGTTACAGTCGTACTTTTAAGTTTAGGTACTGCCCAAATTTTGAATTTTGAAGTGCTCTTTTTCAGTTAATTTTCCAACTCAAAGATCTGAGWTTTATTGTATGTTGTGAGTGGCGAGCCACAATTGTCTGTTAGAAAAACCGTTTTCGTTTCATATTTGCAAAAATTTCAATTTTATCGCTAATTTTGAGTTCTTTGATCGACATTGATTTTTATTTCTAGAACTTCCGATTCTTAAAGTGAAATGTTCAGTTCACTATCAATAAATTCCAATGTGTTTGCCAAGTTACTCTTCGTCCTAAATGCTCAATTTTCTAAAGTTTCACTTAAAAATGCTGACAATCTTAAGGTATTTTTCACGAAAAATTATGAAATAAGTTTCGAATCCTTCGCCGCTTTGTAAAAAGTTTTGGAATCCCTTTCCAGCCTCGAATTTGGAACAAAAATCAAACAACTTTGAAATGATTTGAGATCTGGAAGGTCTCTATGGTTAAAAATGTGGTTTTCCAGTTTTGACTACATTTTTTTTGCTTTACTATCTACTCAAAA